ATACGTAAAATCTTTTTTTAGGCCGGGCGGTGGTGGCGCACGCCTTTAATCCCAGCACTCGGGAGGCAGAGCCAGGCGGATCTCTGTGAGTTCGAGGCCAGCCTGGGCTACCAAGTGAGCTCCAGGAAAGGCGCAAAGCTACACAGAGAAACCCTGTCTCGAAAAACCAAAAAAAAAAAAAAAAATCTTTTTTTAAAGTGTTGTGGGAGGAAGAGGGAAAACAGAAACATCAGAAAGGGAAAAAATAAGAAAATGAAGGCATATAGAATCAAATTTCATTGTACACATGTATAAAAATGCCATGATAAAGATTTTGGTACAAGTAATATGCCAATAAAGAAAATTGAAAAATTTAAAAGTATGCTAAATTTCATTAAAAAGAAAGTATATCTATCTTAAAATATTTGATATATTTTATTAATTCATGTATTAAAAATTGCTTAAGGAACAAATACCATGTAACAGATTATTCTATACATGAACACAAAGATAAAACAAACATACAAAAAAAATTGCTGACCATATGGAATTCACCTTCAAGTGTTCACATATGAGATAATGCTCTCAATCTCATCTAATAATTTCCTACGTACGGTGTCCTGTGAATTCTGTATATAACAGGAAAATCTTAACTTTTGAGAGAAAAAAGAAAGACAGAATCCTTCTCTTTACACTTCTCCTTTAAAACTTATATAAACACTGGGGAGGTGACCATGTAATCCCACCCTTGGCTTATGATGGCTGCTCAAAAGGAGTAGGTTTTCTTTAATCATGTGACCATGGGTGTTTCATCTAGGTCGAAATCTATAATTAAAAAAATAAGTCAATGAAATGATTCCATCAATATTCTGCTATACTCAGATTGATGCCACTAAAGCCAACAGCTAATGGGAAGACATGCAGAGACCCACAGCCCAATATTGGATGGAGAGAGAGCCCAAACTGAAACTCTCTATTTGGTCCCTCTCCGTGGAGCTTAGGGAATTTCATGGAAGAAGGGAGGAATGTCTGTAGGAGCCAGAGAGGTCAAGGACACAAGGATAACACAGCCCACAGACATTAACTAAGCAGGGCTCATAGGAGCTCACAGAGACTCAACAGCAATCACAGAGTCTGCACCAGACTGTAGCAGGTCTTCTGTATACAAGTTATAGTTATTAGCTTGGTGTTTTATGGGACTCCTAACAGTGGAAGTGGGAATTATCTCTGACTCTTTAGTCTGCCCTTGGAACCCTTTTCTTCCTACTACTGGGTTGTGTCTCCCATACTTGATGTGAGGGTTTGTGCCTAGTTTCATTGCATCTTGTTAAGCCATGTTTTGTGAAGGAAAACAAAGGAGGAGTGGTCCGGTAAGGGGGAAGGGAAGAGGAGTGGAAGGAGGGGAAAATGCAATTGGGATATGTTGAAAACACCAGATAGATAGATAGATAGATAGATAGATAGATAGATAGATAGATAGATAGATAGATAGATAGATAGATGGAAAATAGGACCCATTCCCAAGAGCAGTTGGCCAACATAAACTGGACTATATAGTTTATAAAAAAGAAGGATAAAAGGAAAAATAACAGTGTTGGATGGGTAAGGATATCAAGTTAGATCAACTTTCACAGAAGTTGGGGGAAAGGCATAAAAATTACCAAAAAATATTGTGTAAAATTCTCAACAAATTAATAAAAATATTATCTAAAACTAATAAATAAGTAAACAAATCTTAAAAATTAAGGAAAACTTAACTTCATGGTTCCTATCTGATCATAATGAAATAAAGTTTAAAATCAACAGAAAATAAATCCTAGTAATTACAAAGTCATAAGGTTAAACAATTCATTACTGAATGATAAAGTGGTGAAATATGAAATCAATATAGAAATGTTAAAAGTGCCAGGAATTACAAGACAATGAAAGTCCAAAACAGCAAGGCCTCTGTGACACATTGAAATAAGTCATATGAGGGAAAATACAGCTCTGAGTCCCCATATTTAAAATCAGAAAAATACATATAAATGACTTGATACAACTAAAGAATTTAGAAAAATAAGAACAAAACAAACCAAGTCCAATAGATAGAAAGAAAAATCAAACCCTTAATTAATGAAATAGACACAAAGAATACAATACAAAAATGCAAACAACTTAAGAACTTGTTCTTTTAAAAAAACACAATCAAAAGACCCTTGGTCCAAGTAAACAAACAAAGAAAGAGATGACACAAATTAACAGAATCAGAAATGAATAAAGAAACATGACAAAGAAATTCAGAATAGCATAAGGGAATATTTTACAAAACATACTCTATTAAGTTAGAAAAATCTAAAGGAACTCGGCATTTTTATATTCATGAAAATTACCAAAGTTAAACCAACAAGAGGAAAACAACTTAAATAAACCCATAACTGTAGTCAGTAGTTTTCTTTGTGTCTACCCCGGTCCCATGGCCCCACCGCTGCTTATAAAAAAAATCATTCAGAAGCTTAATATTATTTATAACTGCTTGGTCATTAGCTTAGGCTCATTACTGACTAGTTCTTACACTTAAATTAACCCATAATTCTTATAATGTTTAGCCATGTGGCTTGGTAATTTTTCACAGTTCTTCCTTGTCATCTTGCTTCCTCTGTGTCTGGCTGGCAAATTACTTCCCTTCTCTGCCTCTCCTTTCTTCTTCTAGTCTGTCCCCTTAGATTTACCATCTGCCTCTAACCTGCCTTGTCATAGGCCAAATCAGCTTATTTATTAACCAGTCAGAGCAACACATATTCACAGCATACATAAAACCATCCCACAACATTTTCCCTTTTCTGTTTGATCAAAACAGAAGATTTTACCTTTAACATAGTAAAATTACATATAATAGAACAATTATCAAGCAAGAATTACAGTTACAATATCTAGTCTATTTCCATTTGGCAAAATTAAGGAATATATTCCATGTATCCTATATTTGTGAGTCTAAAGTTTCATATCTAATTTATCTTTTATCATGACTAAGGAAAACTATAATCATAACTCTTTCTTCAAACCCATCAAAGACCCCAGAAGGATATAATATTACCTAAGTAAACAGGAAAAGCATTGTATGCAATTTCCAAAAATCTAAAATGACAGAGACAGCTGGCTGCCTGGACAGTCACCCCAAAGTTCCTCTATAACACTGGGGCATCACCTTCAGCCTATAGGCCTAGTGTCTCTCAGGTGCTTCTCTGGGTCTTGTAGAATGACTGGCAGTTTCTTTTGCAAAGCAGGAAACTGAAGGACCATCTTGCCTTGCAAAGTTCAGAGGTCACCTTCCTATGGGTCCTGTATGCCCAGGTTATATAACATCTTGTCAAGCAGTCCAGGCAGAACAGTTTCTTGCCCAAATGGCAATTTTGTGCCAAGAAGAAGAAAAACTCCATATAGAGTGTCTCCAGTGTCCATCTTACTCTTTTAAGTAAATGAGAGCTACCAGGAGCAGATGTGTCTCACTGTCCAGAAATGTCTAAGATTTTAAAACATTTTAAATGCCATGTTGTATAGGTCTTTGAAGTGTTTGAAGATCACCTACCTAATTCAATTATATCTATGTATAACTAGAAAATTTAACCAACATGACGACAAGTTATCATAGATGACTAAATATTCATCTGCATTTCCTAATTATACATTGCAATTTCAAATGAGCTGCACAAACATACCTTAAACAAGAGTAGAAATATACACAGTATGACAAAACTAACTTTAAATTTGTATCAATAAACTAAAATCCATAACAATGTAAAATATTTTAAACAAGTTGTTACTCATTATCTATCATATATAATATGCACATTTCTTCTTTAGAAAAAGATTGCATTTATAACCAACCCCCTTTAAATAAAAATAAATATTTTACAAACAATATTTTGGGAATTTGGGTATAGCTTCTCCTATTACTTCCTGCTGACAGGGGGCACTGGTAATCTTATGTAGGTCCTGAGAAAATTAAGAATTATAGTTAAATCTTGGCTGTAGCATCTGTGAGGATGGATTGTCTCAGCCAGTTGCTTTGAAGCTGATTTTGGATGTTGGATGATCTGGGCCATGGTGTCATTAAAGACCTTTCAGGGAGTCTTGGCTGATCAAACCATATGAGCCTGGAAGCAATCCACAGATTGCTCAGAAAGTTCCGGAAACTGACGAGATTCACTAGGCCACTTTTTCACAGAAAGCAATAAAAATTTGAGAGTCCCTCTCAGATGGAAGGAAGCTGAGGATCAAGGAAGACTCTCAGAAGAGCCAACCTCTAAAGAAGCAGAAACCAGCCAGCTGTTTGAAAGAGGTTTAGATAAACTGAGTCACTTAGAAAGAAAACTTTCCAGCCTGTTGAGTTGCCTGCAGGGTGCACACTGTTTCCAGGTTCCCAGCATTTGTGAGCTGTCACTAATGCTAAGGGTAGGCTATGATGATGCACCTGTCTTTGAGTCATTTCTGCTCTTGTAAATAACCTCTCACCTATAGTACTGTAAGTAACCCCAATAAAACTTACTAGTTGACCAAGTTAGATTTTGGTGGTATCTGTACTTTGAACTGTCGTCCTGCATTCTCTATCTGGGGAGAGTACATGTGTGTTTCATTTCCCCATTAAAGTTCTGTCACAAAACAATAGCTACTGGGTTTTATAACTGTAAAATTCTGTTTTTTCTTTGTAATTACTATGATTATCGTGAGAAGCCACTTTGAATGGCAATTATATTTGGTTTTCTATTATTGACTATGATGGACAATTTTCTAAAAGACAAATGCACTAATCAGGACAAACAAGATTATGCTTAGAGGATCTAGGTGACCCTGTGCTCTCTGGAAGGGAACTGAAAGGTGTATGATTAGTTTGCAACACTGTAACCCTGTCTTTGAACTCCTGGACCCACTTGGGGGTTGAGTAGGGCAGCCAACTTCCAAAGAACTTGTATTTACATTCTTTCAGGTCACATCACAATCAGCTATGGAACCTTGAAGGCTGTGGGTAGGGCAACCTCGGAATCAGGCATCACTTGTGAGGCTTGCCTCCAATGTATTAGCTGCATGGTTACGGCCTGGTGTCTTACAGTGGCTAGGACAATCCTTCTGATTTCGAATTTCTGGGTCTTTACCTGGTTACTGAGCCCTTGCTGGACCATCCTGAGGAAGTAATCCTAGAACTACACAGGGTTTCTCACAATGGACCAAGGTGAACTGCCAACATTTGAGAATTCACCAAGCAGTTCTCGTTGAGAGCTCAACTGGATTCATACTCTTGATTGATCCTGATATCCAAAGTCAACTCTTGTTTATAAAGAAAAGTTATTCTGAGCTCTTCATCCTGTGGACTAATAAGCTTCTGACCGTGAACCAACTTGTAGATTATACCATTACTGGAATAAGTAATACATCAGATATCAGGGTGACCAGCCCAAGAATACCCAGCCGGAGCCAGGCAGACAGTGGCATTCATTTGGAAATAGGAAGGTTATACCATACTGAGGACCCAGTACTCAGCCAAGGCCAATCTAGAAGTGAGTCCATGTGGCAACCTAAACAGTGTGGGATGGAGATGAAACCTGAAGCTCCTGGGCAAGGTCGAAAACGAAAATACCAAAATAAAGATGGGAAAGACATTGAGTCTGAAGCTTTGGGAAAAGGTAAAACACTGAAATACCAGGATGAGGGTGAAATGGATTTGGAGTTTGAAGAGCCCAGCAAAACTCCAAAGAGGATACCTCAGGAACAGCAAGACCTAGGGCTTCAAAGGCAACAGCCACACAAGGATGAGCTGTGGGAACCCCATCGAGAAACTCTAAGTCAAATGAAGACCCTAGAGTGGGCTAAAGGTCCACATGAGCAGGCTGTAACTGTGAGAAAGTCTGGGGATGGTGGTAACAAGGGTCACAAGAGGCCCTCTTCCCTCATGGAGGAATATGCCGAAAACCACCTAAGGCAAAAGTACCAAAGGTTACTGCAGCATCTTCCACCTGGTAATAACATGAAATCTGACCCACAGAGCGCTCACACAACCCTGGTGGATACCATGAAGATCAAAGGTTGTGTGGAAGGGCACAGTCATGGATCGAGAACAACTCAGTGTGATCCTAAACAATCTACTGTTGTTACCACAAAGGAATGTATCTCACCAGACAAAAAAGTGAGGATGTGTACAGAGAACTCTTCTGATACACGGAAGAATGATGCAGTAAGCCTTGAAGGAAGAAGAGGACACGACGTGGAGCCTGACTTGCTAAGAGCAGAGGCTCAAGTCTTCCTGCATAGTGGCAGCAGTAGGTCACTCCCCAACAAGATGCCAGTAGTTATGGCAGAGAAAAAGCCTGCTGTAGACCAAGAAAAGGTCAGAAGAATGGATGAAGTCCTTAATGTTACAGAGGACATGGAAAAGGAAATAAAAAATGCACTAGGTCCAGGACCCCAGGAAGAAATCTTAACTAGTGCATTCAAATTGCATATTACTCGAGGAGATATCCACACACTAGAGAATGGTGAGTGGCTCAATGATGAGGTCATCAATTTTTATATGAATCTTCTGGTTGAGAGAAATAACAAAAAAGGGTACCCAGCTCTTCATGTGTTCAGCACTTTCTTTTACCCTAAACTAAAGCATGGTGGCTACTGTTCTGTTAAACGATGGACTCGAGGAATAAAACTGTTTGAAAAAGAAATTATTCTCATACCTATTCACCAGAAGGTACACTGGAGCCTGATAGTAATCGACCTAAGAAAACAGAGTATCATATACCTCGATTCAATGGGACAGACAGGGCAGAGCATTTGTGAGACCATCTTTGAATATTTACAAAATGAGAGCAAAACTCGAAGGAACATTGAGCTGGACCCTTTGGAGTGGAAAAGATACAGTATGACATCAAAGGAGATTCCTCAACAACTGAATGGGAGTGACTGTGGAATTTTTACTTGTCAATATGCAGATTACATTTCTAGAGACCAACCACTTACCTTTTCTCAAAAACACATGCCCATCTTTAGGAAGAGGATGGTGTGGGAAATCCTGCATAGTCACGTACTGTAACAACATCCACTTGGTTGCTATGGCACCCCTGCACTTTTCCATTGATGTTTCTATATACCTCAAGCAAGATGGGTTGAAAAGATTCAAAACAGATACTGAGCTGCCTGACATGGATGAAGCCCACTCTCTTCAATGTAGTCCTGACCTCGGGAGTCCTGCCCAATGCCATCTATAGGCTGCATGTAACTACTGCGAGCTTAGAAACCGCTGTTCAACCCACACGAGAACACATGTTCAAAAAGTATTGTTTTAGTGTTGGATATAGTTTATGAATTATTTTAATGTTGGATTTAGTTTATGAATTGTTTTAGTGTTGGTCTTATTTTATGAATTGTTTTGAGGTTGGATTTAGTTTATGAATTGTTTTAATGTTGGATTTAGTTTCTGAATTGTTTTAATGTTGGATTTAGTTTATGAATTTTTTTGTATTCTTCCCCCACTCACTCATTTACAAACCTTGGTAGCTGTCATTTTACAATATTCTCTAGTTACCAACTCTATTCCTTGTTTGAACTGTTTATTCCTGAAAAGAATGCCCATCACACTGTCATTCCCTGCTTAAGGTCAGGGCGGACATCAGCAAGAAGAGACAGGAAGTGTTGACTAGTGTCTCTAATGATGGAGTTGTATCTGTTAAATTGAAGATGGAGGTGTTTTTTTCTTTTATGTATAGTTTAAAGATTGAAAATAGTAAAAGAAAGGACAATGAATTGCACAAACTGATACTTTTCTAACCAATCATACTCTACTGGACTTCTATATGACACAGAACAGTTGAGAAAAGCATCACAGTTATTTAAAGACACATTCTGTCCCAGAATTAAGGAGACTTGCCTTAGTTTGTGGAAGCTGATTAGAATTAACTATAATGGTAAATATCCATTATTATCCCAGGTCTCATTGAATCCAAACCTCAGCTTTGCTATATTGAATTATCTGAAAAATTTGATTCAATTTAAAGTTATGTTTTTACTTAATTCATTAGATTAATATTGCTGTGTCCCATTCCCACTGTGGAAGTGGGGATTTAGGGTTGATATTGGTAATTATACAATAATCCATTATACATGTGATGAACTGTATTTAACTTTTCTTTTCATTGTCTTACAGTTGTGTTTATAAATTTTTATATAATAAAGTTTAAAGTTGTTCAAAACATATATTGCAATAAAAAAGAAATGAGTATTTTTTGATATATTCCACCTACTAAAGTTAAATCAATATTAGATAAACAATTTAAGTAGACTTATAATCCCAAGTAAAATAGAAGCAGTAATTAAATGTCTACCAACAAAAGAAAAAAAAAAAACAAAACAAAACAGAAATAACCAGGACCAGATGGTTTTAGCATAAACTTCTACAAGACTTTTCAAGAAGAGTTGATGACAATACTTCTCAAATTATCACACAAAACAGAAACAAGAAGAGCATTGCCCAATTTCGTTAAAGAGGCCACAGTTATCCTGATACCTAAACCACATAAACACTCTAAAAACAATGAGAATCACAGGCAAATTTACCTCATGAACATTGATTCAAAAATTCTCAATAAAATACTTGCAAATTGAATCCAATAACACATCCAAAAATTCATCCACCATGAACAAGTAGGGTTCATCCCAGAGTGCAGGGATGTTTTAACCTATGTAAATTGTTAAATGCAATCCACCATACAAAGAAACTGAAAAACAACAACCAGATAATCATCTCATTAGATGCAGAAAAGGCATTTGACAAAATCCGACACCTCTTCATGATTAAAATCCTGGAGTGGCCGGGCGGTGGTGGCGCACGCCTTTAATCCCAGCACTCGGGAGGCAGAGCCAGGCGGATCTCTGTGAGTTCGAGGCCAGCCTGGGCTACCAAGTGAGTTCCAGGAAAGGCGCAAAGCTACACAGAGAAACCCTGTCTCGAAAAAAAAAAAAAAAAAAAAAAAAAAATCCTGGAGTGATTAGGGATACAAGGGACATACCTCAACATAATAGGGCAAAACTATGATAATCAATTCCATAGCCAGCATCAACTTAAAGGGGGGGGGGGGGGGGACTCAAAGCAATTCCGTTAAAATTAGGAACAAGGCAAGGTTGTTCAGTCTCTCCATACCTGTTCAATATAGTACGTGAAGTCTTAGCTAGAGAAACAAGAGGACTGAAGGAGATCAAGGGGATCCCAACTGGAAAGGAAGAAGTGAAAGTATCTTTATTTGTAGATGATATGATAGTATGCATACGTGACTCTAAATATTCCCTCTGGAAACTCCAATAGCTGAAAAACACTTTCAGAAAAGTAGGAGGATAAATTTAACTCAGGAAAATCAGTAGCCTTCTTATATTCAAAAGACAAATGGACTGAGAAAGAAATCAGATAAACAACTCCTTTCACAAGAGCCTCAAAAATTACAAAATATCTTGGGGCAACTCTAACCAAGCAAGGAAACACCTTTATGATAAAACCTTCAAGTCAAGTCTTTGAAGAAAGAAATTGAACAAGATATCAGAAGATGGAAAGATCTCCCATGTTCATGGATTGGTAGGATTAATATAGTGAAACTGGTCATTCTGCCAAAAGCAACCTACAGATTCAATGCAGTCCTTGTCACACAATTCATCACATATCTTGAAAGGGCAATTTTCTACTTCATATAGAAATGCAAAAATCCCAGGTTATATAAAGCAATCCTGGAAGATCCATTGCACTAGGTTTCCAGCTTGTCCCTGAGCTGTATGTAACAACACAGTTTTCTCTTCCAGTACACTCTCCCTCCATGCTCTCCACCTTACCTGATCCCATCTGTTACCATCCCCCCACTGTACCCATTAACATGCCATGTCTATTCTATTTTCCCTTCCCCTCTTTGTTAATTAGCTTTTGGATCTGTGGATTAAACCATGCCACAAATCAAATAATCCCATTTTAAAAATGAGTATAGCTCCAAACAAGAACTCTCAACAGCAGAAACTCAAATGGCTAGGAAGCACTTAAAGAAATGTTCAACATCCTTTGCCATGAGGAAATGCAAATCACAATGGTTCTGAGATTCCATCTTATGCCTGTCAGAATGGCTGAGATCAAAAAACACAAGTGACAGCTCATGCAGACAAGGATGTGAAGCAAGGGGAACACTACTCCACTGCTGGTGGGAGTCCAGAATTGTACAGCCACTACAGAAATCAACATGGTGATGCCTCAGAAAATTTGGAATTGATCTACCTCAAGATCCAGCTATACCACTTTCGGGCATATACTCAAAGGATTCTATCACAAGGACTCTTGCAAAACTATGTTCATATCAGCTTTATTTGTAATAGCCAGAAACTGGATACAACCAAGATGTCCCTCACCTGAAGAATAGATAAAGAAAATATGGAACATTTACACAATGGAGTACTATTCAGTTATAAAAATAACATGATGAAATTTGTAGGCAAATAGATCAAACTGCAAAAAGAAAATCATCCTGAGTGAGGTAACTCACATGTAGAAGAAAAATATGGCATGTACTCACATATAAGTGGCTATTAGCTGTCAGTATAGGATAATTGTGACTGCTTTATTTTTTTTTCTAATGAGGGAGAGAAAGGAGTTAGGTCTGCATTGCAGGGGAAGTAGAGAAGAACTGAGGAGAGTGAGGGAAAAATCTTTATCATATATTATATGAAAATATCTAGTTTCCATAAAATAAAAGCAAGGCAAAACAAAGAGCAATCTCAGGTATTCTGTTACAGCAGCACAGAATGGAAAAAGACTGGTGTACTACACCGACTTCAAAGACTTTTTACTCAATGAAGAGCGCCGTACTTTGCCTCCTTCTGTCTTCTGTGACCTCAAGGTATTTTCTTTTGCTGTGAAAATGATTATTTGGCAAATAAGCAGACATGGATATCTGGAGACTGGAGCTGGAGTCAAGAACATAGTTCAGAACACACATGGTTTCAGCACGGACGCTGATGCACTCAATTTCCGATGGTGGGAACTCGTGCAACTGCCTACGCTTATTTAGTATTACTTTACTCTCCTGCAAACAGAAGAATAACAGCATCAATCTTGTTTACTCATTTCTAGGAGCAGTAGATGGCAGCAAGCAGGAAATCTTTACTACAGTTTCCAGACGCATGAACGCTCAACACTCAAATGTTAATTATATTTCTTTCTAAAATTCTTAGAGTTAAGAAATGAACAAAAAATTACATAAATCTTTCCCGCTCTTCTTTTCTCTTATGTGATCCACTAACTAGGTACTACACTGGGAAATCATGGATAAAGGGAAGGTACGCCAACCGTTTCTCTGATCTTAATGGCCACTAACTTCATGAAACTTGTTGTTGCAGAACAAAATGTTTTCTGCCAGTCTTTTTTTATCAAAAGAATATTTGAGGAGGAGAGAGATTCTCGGGGCAAGCTGGCAAAAATTCTAAGCATCCTTTGATTTTTGGTCTTCACATATTATTTCTCATGATAGTAAGATGACATCTGACTTATCTAGAAAACATTAGATTACTTTAAGGATCTTCTAGTAACTGTCCTCCTAGAAACCTCAATATATACCAAAGTGTCTGACAAATAAAAACATTATAACTCCACAAAGAAAGATAGATATAAGCCTAGATCCCATCCCTGGGCACCAGCCACTCCGAGGAAGACCTTCCAACTTGACCCCAGGCTCTGGTCATTGGGCATGATCCCTTCTACCCCCACCCCCACGGGGAAGGCTCCCCTTCTCCAAGACCCCCTGTAGACCCTGCAATCTCCACATCCTGCCCACACGCCCATCTGCCCAAGACCCCAGCCACTTCCTGAGACTTGGAGACCGGCCCCCAGCTCCCATCCTACCCCGGACATCCCATCTGGACAAGAGACCCCCAGTAGACCCTGCAATCTCCAAGCCCTGCCCCCACGCACATCATCGCCCAAGATCCCAGCTACTTCCTGAGACTTAGAAACCACCCCCAGGTCCTATCCTGCCCTGGACTTCCTGTCTGGACAAGAGGTGATTGCCTGGGCTCAGCCTAGATACCACCCCTGGGCATCAGCCACTCCAGGGAAGACCTGCCCAACTTGGTTCTGGCCATCGGGCATGATCCCTTCTACCCCCACCCCCATGGGGAAAGCTCCCCTTCTCCAAGACCCATGGCAGACTCTGCAATCTCCATGCCCTGCTGCTGTGGATATCACTCTATATAAATAAAACACTGATGGCCAGTGACCAGGAAGGAAGTATAGGCAGGACAAAGAGAGAGGAGAATTGGGGAAACAGGAAGAAGGAGGGAGAGACACTACAGCCAGCACCAGCACAAGCAGCATGTAAAGACGCCAGTAAGCCACCAGCCACGTGGCAAGGTATAGATTTATAGAAATGGGTTAATTTAAGATATAAGAACAGTTAGCAAGAAGCCTGCCACGCCCATACAGTTTATAAGTATAATAAGTGTCTGAGTAATTATTTTATATGTGGATTGTGGGACTGTGGGGCTTGGTGGAACCTGGAGAGAAACTCTCCAGCAACACCCTGCCCCCATGCCCATCATCTCCTGAGACCCCAGCCACTTCCTGAGACTTAGAGACCGGCCCCCAGCTCCCATCCTGCCCCGGACTTCCCATCTGGACAAGAGCTCCCATCCTGCCCGGACTTCCCATCTGGACAAGAGCTCCCATCTGGACAAGAGAGAGAGACTTCCTGAATCTGTCAGCTCTGTCAGGACCAAATGCGCTGATTAGACCAAGAACAAACCAAAAGGAAATGGGCAGACATCAAGGCAGAAGTACATACAACAAAATGAAAAGCAATACAGCATCAACAGAACCTAGCCCTCCTCCAACATCAAAAGTTGGAAGTAGAAGAAAACAGCCCCATGAATAATATCATGAAGAAGTAGAGGCTTATACAGAGGAAAAGACAAAATAGGGAAGTATGCTATAAAAAACTAGAGGAAAGGACAAATAAAGCAGAAGAAAACAATAAAGACCTGGAAGAAAACAATGAATCCCTGAAAGAAGAATATGAAAAAGCAATGAAACAGATGAAGAAAACAGTCCAAGACCTGAAAAGGGATATAGAAAAAATGAAGAAGACACAAACAGAGGGAATG